GTATTTTCCCCATGTCAACATCATCCTCACGTTTGTCTCCTTCCTCTTGCTCCTTACCCACATCACTTTCTGCCCTAGAAAATGCTCACATTGATGGTTAATGCTGCTTAGAGTCAAGAAATTACCTGCATGATATGAACTAAGACTCTAAAAAAATGGATTTTTGAAAAGATTTTTAAACATGGGGGGCAGTCAGTCATGCACATACCCAAAGCCACCACCCAGTTAAAATTTAACTAAAGTTGTATCACTGTATCACTGTCATCCCGTTATTCATCGATTTGTCCCTGTCACGTTCTAGTGTAGCCCGATGGCATATTGGGGGCTCTTTCAGGGTCAGGGGAATAAGGACCATCATTGTTACTGTTTTTGGCATATCAAGTATGCCACGGGTAGTTTGCCAGGCTCAGCTGTGCAGGTGGGATACTCTCAGTGGCTTGCCAGGCTCTCCGAGAGGGATAGAGGCTTTTGGGAAGCCTCTAATCACCTTTACAGGTGTTCCTAGTCAGGCATATATGCAGGCAGGATACTTTCGGTAGCCTGCTGAGTCCTCTGAGAGCGAAAACTGGACAATAAGAGGTCGCACGGCCACAAATGCGGCCGTGCGCTTCCAGGAACTTGGTTTTATAGTCTCTGGATCTTAGCCATTGGGGGAATTAACACGGCAGTTGGTGGGTGTAACTATCTAGCTACTGAAAGATGAAGAACTGGGACTTCAGCTTTATCACTTTATTAAAAATCTTGGACTTTCTAGAGCACATTTGCAGCCACGTGACATCTCAAACTCTACAACACTAATAAACAAGGAGTAGCATACCAGATTGGATGGGATGCAATGTAGAAAGGAGCCAATCTTGATTAACAAAATATAAACACAAAAGGCTTAATCTGTAGCAACATCTCAGTAATCTCTTATACAAGGGCTTAATGGCGCCACGGTAAGATATAATCTTCATTAACTTTCTTCTAAGGAAACTTTGGATCATTCTGTTAGTCAGTGGTTTATAACAAGCAATATAAAATAAATTGAGGACGTGCTATGAGGACAGGCTTAAGGGATGTTTAGGAAAATTAGAGATAATGGTGGTGGGGAGGTGCAATGTGCTGGGATTGATGTTGGAATATTGAATATCTGTAACAAATCATCATGAACAACTTTGAAAACCACAATGTTTATATGAAGTGTAAGAGGGAAGGTAAAGGTAAAGGTAAAGGCCCTCCCGTTGATCGTCGATTTGCTCGAGCGGGCCCAGTAACGTCTCCATTGGAGACTTTGTTGTTACTGTGTCTGGCATATCCAATACTCTCGGTAGCTTGCCGGGCTCTCCGAGAGGGGCGGAGGAATCGAACTCGGGTCGGCCATGTTGGCCGCTTGTAAGGCGAACGCCCTACTCGCTGTGCTATCAAATAAATTAATTAAAAGGTGTCCAGAGAGATAGTACAATGGGAAGGGCACTTGCCTTGGACATGGTCAACTTGGGTTCAATTCCCGGTATCCCATGTGGTCCCCCAAATACAGCAGGAGTGGTCCCTGAGTGCACAGCCAAGAGTCAGAAGTGAGCACTGCCGGGAGTGGTAAATGAATGAATAAATGTTTGACATTCTAATATTGTTGAATATGTGTATGATTGCCAATTCATTTTGTTGATGCTTTGGTTTGGGAAGGGTCGGTCTGATCTGTGTTCTCCTGGAGACACCATTGCTCTGATCATGAATCCTTTGTTTTAAACAATGACATCAAGCAGTGCAGGATGACTTTGTGTCATTCATTCAGGTAACTGTAGTTAATTGTAATTGTAGTTAATCCGTTTTTAGGATAGGTGCCTGCACTGCAGAAATTTAATGTTTTAATTTATTCTCTCCATTAGTGCATTTTATAGTAGCTGAACTTTGAGTATGTTTCTTCCTGCCCCACAAGTTCCCTCTCTGCCTCTGTACTTCCCCCTTACATACACTCTCCAGATATTTATTCGGTCTTCTTAGATAGAAATGTATTAATGCATGTTTCAAGAAAAGCAGTGACCCAGGTTCTGCTGTTTTCGCCGCTGCTGCATTGAACTTTCTCTGTTTGTTTGTGGTTTTTTTTTTGGGGGGGGGGAGCTCTTGTTCCTTGGTTTACACAAATATTAGCACTGCACTTAGTGAATGAAGAAATAAGTCTCATCTAAACCTGGGGTAATCGGAAATGCCTTACTTCTGCTGTTTCCCCACTCCCCACCCCCCACTGCCCTCACTTCTGTTCTTGCCAATGACAAGAAGTTGCACAATTGATTGTGATGCTTGTTTGTGGGAGACTGTTTGTGGGAGACTGTTTGTGGGTGTCAAGGAAACACAGGCATATAGAACAGGAAATCATCACCACTAAACTCCATCCTAGAGGTGCTGCTGTCAGCTGGAGAGCCCCCAGACTCTGCCCTCATGTACTCACCGAGTGTTGATTGCTCCCCAACTGGCCTTAATGTTGTCAGCTGAAACTGGAACTCGTGGGACCTCAGGAGGGGAAGGACATTGGGGTGAATAGACTCCCCCAGAGTTGCCCAGGCAACCCTGACGCTCTGAAGTCCTGAGTGTCTGTCTCCTCTGCCCCCATCCCCTGGGGGACAGAGATCCAAGGTGCCCATCCCATTGGCTTTAGACACTGCACACTGGTGGTGTCCATGCTTTGACAGAAGTCACATCCTTGGTTGTTGGCGTCACACATGATCACAGTGCCTGTGTGTAGTTGGACTGCAGTGACCCCAGAGACACCCCCACAGCTGCCATTTGTGGGAGTCGACCATCTGGTGCTGGGGGTCCTGGAAGGTAATGCTAGTGAATCTTCCTATCAGTCTCCTGCTGGGACTGAAGCCCTGACCTCACCCTTGCCTAGCAGGTGCCCTGCAGCCGAGTGGTTCTGGGGCCCCACTCTGTTGTTTGTTTTGAGATACTTGAATTTTGAAGTATTATTTCAAGTTGAGCTGGAGAGATATACAACAGGTATGGCATATGCCTTGCAGATGGCCAGCCCATGTTCAATCCCCAGCACCCCACATGATCCCCTGAGAACTGCCAGGAGTGATTCCTGATCACAGAGTCAGGAGTAACCCCTGAGCATCACCTGGTATGAACCAAAAACAAAAGCAAACATAGTTCTGGGACTTTAACTTTGGTTTCTCAATTCTAACCCACTGACCAGTCTGTTTCTTCTTACACAGGTGACACAATGTTTTAATTACTATAGCTTTATAGCAGAGAGAGATCAAATCAAGAGAACAATGAGATATTAACTCACACCAATGAGAATGACATAAGTTTAAAAGTTATGAGAAATGTACATGCTGACTCAAGTTTGAACCCCGGCATCCCATATGGTTCCCCCAGTACTGCCAGGAAGTGATTCCTGAGTGCAGAGCCAGGAACAACCCCTGAGCACCACAGGGTGGGGTTCCCAAAACGAAAACAAAAGTTATGATCTGTGTTGGCAAGGCTGTATTCTACAAAAGGAACACTCGAAGAGAGGTCAGGTGAACAGAACTCCAGGTAGACCTGTCTTCAGGCTGAAAATGGGTCTTCTCAGGAGGGGCGCGACTGGGTCCCCGGAGGGACCAGCAATGAACTGTCCAGCCTCACAGCTGATCTCAAGGGATGGCAAACCAAAGATATGCCACAATTCTACAGCTCCTGGATCTCAGGGCCACATATGCATTACCGTGCTACACCTCCAAATTCCAAATACCGACAGCCATGAGGAGCACAGCAGAGTAGATGGGAAACTAGCCTAGAAGCCCATTTGGCTCATAAATGAAATCAATAATGCGGAAGGCTCAACCAGCAGCAAATAGCTCAGTAAATTCTCAGACAATGACCTTAATGACACCATTGTGAGATCAAACAATTGTCATAAACTTTCTTTTACTGGACTACTTTTCATAATTGCATTTGCCTTTCTTTTGTAACAAGCAGTATAAAATCATCTATTCTGCACCTACTAAGGGGACAGGCCTGTGGGCTGGGGGAAAACTGGGGACAATGGTGGTGGGAATGGTGTTGGGACATTGAATGCCTAGCACAACTGTATCATGAACAATTCTGTGTTTTAATGTCTTCTGGTTTATTCCATACGGGAGATTTCTCGAAAGAAGAGAAAAAAAGAAAAGAAAGAAAGAGAAAAAGAGAGAAGGAAGGAAGGAAGGAAGGAAGGAAGGAAGGAAGGAAGGAAGGGAAGGAAGGGAGGGAGGGAGGAAGGAAGGAAGGAAGGAAGGAAGGAAGGAAGGAAGGAAGGAAGGAGGAAAGAAAGAAAGAAAGAAAGAAAGAAAGAAAGAAAGAAAGAAAGAAAGAAAGAGGCAGGATGACCCAAAATTCCACTCTCAAACACAAAGATATTCATTGAAAAATACATGAACACAAGCACACCTATTAACTCATTCTGTCCAAAGCTACACTTGCACATGGGCTTTGTGCTGAGCTCAGGGCTGGAGCAGCAGATCAGGGGGTACTCTGGACTGTGGTTACACACCCCCAGTTCAACCTGAGCACACTGGCCTGGGTGACACTTCCAACCCACAGCTGCACCATACCCGTAGATAAACAAACCAACCTCAGGAAGGAGGGGGTGAGAAAAGAGAAGTGAGGGCCGGGAGAGGAAAACCTATACTCCAGCAGAGAGGGGTTCCCATGGCTTTCGGGTCCCCGGGAGATTGCTAGTATCTAAGGCAGAAGTTCTTGCTCTTCTCGAGCACCTGAGTCCTGGGGACCGTGTGCACGGTGAGGGCCCAGGGAGGGGCTGAGAGTCGGGGTTTGGAGGAAAGGTGCCCAGGATCAGGTGAGGAGGAAGAAAGGACGCATGAGGTTCTAGAAATCTCTGCTGTTCCCCTGAAAAAGCTGTCCCGGGGGCAGTTCCCCTTCTGAGGGCTCTGAGGTGACACCCAGTGACTTGCCAGACCAGCCGCAAGGACACACCCTGTGTCTGTTCTGTGGGGCACAGAGTGCCCCCAAGCACAGCCAGGACAAGAGGAGGTGCCATGATCCCTTTCACGGCCCTACTCTGTCTGGGTGAGCCTCAGGGGGGACCCAAGTCTGGGGGAACACGGGATTCCGGAAACCCTGGGACGAGGTTCCCTCAGACTCAGGACAGGCTCTCAAAGGGTCTCTCTTCCAGGGCTGAGTATGGGCGCCAGAACCTCCATGAAGGCAGGTGAGTGTGTCCCCAGGACCAGGCACCCCCAGGAGAGAGCCCACATCTTGGAAGGGGGCTGCAGTTTTTGATGGGTGGGACGATGTGGGGTGTCCTGGGCCAGAGCTGAGACTGGGGCGGGAATGTCTGTGACCAGCCTCTGCTTCCTTCCAGGGACCCTGCCCAGACCCACCCTCTGGGCTGAGCCAGGCTCTGTGATCCCCAAGAGGAGCCCCGTGACCCTCTGGTGTCAGGGGTTCCCGGGGGCCCAGCACTTCCATCTGTTTGGAGAGAAAAAGGTATTGAACCTGAACAAAACCATGTCCCCGGGTCCCCAGAACAAGGCCACATTCACCATCTCCAGCATGACGTCATTTAGGACCGGGAATTACCGCTGTCAGTATGAGAGAGGGGGGCTGCGGTCAGAGCTCAGTGAGCCCGTTGAGCTGGTGGCCACAGGTGAGACTCACTCGGGGACCCAGAGCTGCCCAGGGAGTGGGTCTGCACCTGCGCCCAGGGGTCTACCTGAGGTGCTGGGCACGACCCCTGTAACCTCTGTCTTTGCCCTCCTAGGATATCACAGAAAACCTTCCCTTTCTGTCCTGCCGAGCCCTGTCGTGACCTCAGGGGGGACCGTGACCCTCAGGTGTATGGCCCGTGAGGGATTCAAGGCATTCATTCTGATTCAGGAGGGAGAACGCAGGCCCCCACGAACCCTTGAGTCACAGAGGAGCACCAGTAGGCGGGAGCACCAGGCCCTGTTCTTAGTGGGGCCCGTGACCCCCGGCCGCAGCTGGACGTTCAGGTGTTATGGCTATTATGCCTACAATCCTCAGGAGTGGTCTGAGCCCAGTGACCCCCTGCAGCTCCAAGTTTCAGGTGAGGATCCCGCTCCCCACCCCTCAGAGCTCAGCCAAGTAACCCACAAGAGCATTGTGGGGAGAGAAGCGGACAAGAGAAGGGGTCAGCCTCGGGACCATCCCCTAGGCTCCTCTTACTCCTCCCTTCCAGCTCTGGGCTGCTGGGGGTCAGGAGGGCAGCAGGAATTGGGGGTACAGGCAGATCTAGGGGAACTGTTGGCATAGGAGACTGGGGCTCAGCCTAGCCCCTCACTCTCGTCTCCCTGCAGAACCCTCTGTGGTCACCAGAGCCCTAGCTACAGCACCGAGGCTTCGCATGGGTGAGTAACCGTGTCTGCCCGAGACAGGGGACCCAGAGCAGGGTAGGACACTGATTCGGGTGAGGAGTGGACAGGCCCAGGTATCCCCCAGAAGGGGTGCCCCAGGGCACCGGTCTCTGTGCTGCTGCCCTGAAACAGCCTGTCCCTGTGGGCAGGTCCCCTTTCTGCGGGCTCAGAAGTGACTTCCTGTGACACACAGAGACATCTCCCACTCTCAGAGGGTCCTATGAGATCACAGCAGGTCTGAGTGGGGAGACGACATGACCCCTCTCACTGCCCTGCTCTTTCTAGGTGAGCCTCAGGGACACCCAGGTCTGGGGACCCAGAGGTTCTGGGACCCAGGACGTGGGGGGTCCTGGGACAAGGTTCCCTCAGACTCAGGACAGGGCCCCACAGGGCCTCTCTCTCAGGGCTGAGTGTGGGTGCCAGGACCCCCGTGCAGGCAGGCGAGTATGTCCCCAGGGCCAGGAACCCCTGGGACAGAGCCCACAGCAGGGACAGGGACATCAGTTTTGGGGAATGAGTGGGAGAATGTGAGGGGTCCTGGGACAGAGCTGGGACTGGGGCGGGAATGTCTGTGACCAGCCTTTGCTTCCTTCCAGGGACCCTGCCCAGACCCACCCTCTGGGCTGAGCCAGGCTCTGTGATCCTCAAGAGGAGTCCCGTGACCCTGTGGTGTCAGGGGTTCCCGGGGGCCCAGCACTTCCGTCTGTTAGGAGAGACAAGCGAATCGAGCCTGGACGAAACCATGTCCCCGGGTCCCCAGAACAAGGCCACATTCACCATCTCCAGCATGACGACATTTAACACTGGGAATTACCGCTGTCAGTATGAGAGAGGGGGGCTGCGGTCAGAGCTCAGTGAGCCCGTTGAGCTGGTGGCCACAGGTGAGACTCACTCGGGGACCAAGAGCTGCCCAGGGAGTGGGTCTGCACCTGGGCCCAGGGGTCTACCTGAGGTGCTGGGCGCGACCCCTGTAACCTCTGTCTCTGCCCTCCTAGGATATCACGGAAAACCGTCCCTTTCTGCCCTGCCGAGCCCTGTCGTGACCTCAGGGGGGAACGTGACCCTCAGGTGTATGGCCCCTGAGGCATTCAAGGCATTAATTCTGATTCAGGAGGGAGAACCCGGGCGCCCACGCACCCTTGATTTACAGAGGAGCACCAGTGGGCAGGTCCAGGCCTTGTTCTCAGTGGGGCCTGTGACCTCCGGCCGCAGCTGGACGTTCAGATGTTATGGCTATTATGCCTACAATCCTCAAGAGTGGTCAGAGCCCAGTGACGCCCTGCAGCTCCGAGTTTCAGGTGAAAATCCTGCACCCCACCCCTCAGAGCTCAGCCAAGTAACCCACAAGAGCATTGTGGGGAGAGAAGCGGACAAGAGAAGGGTTCAACCTCAGGAATGTCCCCTAGACTACTCTTACCCCTCCCTTCCACCTCTGGGCTGCTGGGGGTCAAGAGGGCTGCAGGAATTGGGGGTACAGGCAGATCTAGGGGAGCTGTTGGCATAGGAGACTTGGGATCAGCCTAGCCCCTCACTCTCATCTCCCTGCAGAACCCTCTGTGGTCACCAGAGCCCCAGCTACAACACCTAGGCTTCATATGGGTGAGTAACCGCGTCTGCCCGAGGCAGGGGATCCAGGGCAGGGTAGGACACTGATTCGGGTGAGGAGTGGACAGGCCCAGGTATCCCCCAGGAGGGGTGCCCCAGGACACCTGTCTCTGTACTGCTGCCCTGAAACAGCCTGTCCCAGTGGGCAGGTCCCCTTCCTGCGGGCTCAGACGTGACTTCCTGTGACACACAGGGACATCTTCCACTCTCTGAGGGTTCTATGAGATCACAGCAGGTCTGAGTGGGAAGACACCATGATCCCCTCTCACGGCCTTGCTTTGTCTGGGTGAGCCTCAGGGACACCCAGGTCTATGGGACCCAAGGTTAGGGGACCTGGGACTCAGGTGTCCCTGAGATGAGGTTCCTCAGAACTCAGGACAAACTCATAGCTTCTCTCTCCCAGGGATGAGTGTGGGCATCGGGACCCCTATTTGGTGTTTTCAGGTTTCAGGGGAGATCCCACAGTTGAGACGGGGGCTGCAGTTTTTGATGGGTGGGAGGATGTGAGGGGTCCTGGGCCAGAGCTGGGACTGGGGCGGGAATGTCTATGACCAGCCTCTGCTTCCTTCCAGGGACCCTGCCCAGACCTACCCTCTGGGCTGAGCCAGGCTCTGTGATCCCCCAGAGGAGCCCCGTGACCCTCTGGTGTCAGGGATCCCCGGGTGCCCAGCACTTCCGTCTGTTTGGAGAGACAAGCGGATCGAGCCTGGAAGAAACTATGCCCCTGGGTCCCCAGAACAAGGCCACATTCTCCATCTCCAGCATGACAACATTTAACACCGGGAGTTACCGCTGTCAGTATGAGAGGGGAGAGCTGCGGTCAGAGTTCAGTGAGCCCGTGGAGCTTGTGGTCACAGGTGAGACTCACTCGGGGACCCAGAGCTGCCCAGGGAGGGGGTCTGTGCCTGAGCAGCCCGTGGAGCTGGTGGTCATAGGTGAGACTCACTCGGGGACCCAAAGCTGCCCAGGGAGGGGGTCTGCCACCCTCAGGTGGGAGGGGGGGAGCAGGCAGGAAGAGCGGTCAGCCTCGGGACCGTCCCCTAGGCTCCTCTTACACCTCCCTTCCAGCTCTGGGCTGCTGGGGGTCAGGAGGGCAGCAGAAATTGGGGGTACAGGCAGATCTAGGGGAGCTGTTGGTATAGGAGACTCGGGCTCAGCCTAGCCCCTCACTCTCATCTCCCTGCAGAACCCTCTGTGGTCACCAGAGTCCCAGCTACAACACCTAGGCTTCGCATGGGTGAGTAACCGCGTCTGCCTGAGGCAGGGGATCCAGGGCAGGGTAGGACACTGATTCGGGTGAAGAGTGGACAGGACCAGGTATCCCCCAGAAGGGGTGCCCCAGGGCACCGGTCTCTGTACTGCTGCCCTGAAACAGCCTGTCCCAGTGGGCAGGTCCCCTTCCTGCGGGCTCAGACGTGACTTCCTGTGACACACAGGGACATCTCCCACTCTCTGAGGGTCCTATGAGATCACAGCAGGTCTGAGTGGGGAGACACCATGACCCCCTCTCACAGCCTTGCTTTGTCTGGGTGAGCCTCGGGGACACCCAGGTCTATGGGACCCAAAGTTAGGGGACCTGGGACTCAGGTGTCCCTGAGATGAGGTTCCTCAGGACTCAGGACAAACTCATAGCTTCTCTCTCCCAGGGCTGAGTGTGGGCATCAGGACCCCTATTTGGTGTTTTCAGGTTTCAGGGGAGATCCCACAGTTGAGATGGGGGCTGCAGTTTTTGATGGGTGGGAGGATGTGAGGGGTCCTGGGCCAGAGCTGGGACTGGGGCGGGAATGTCTGTGACCAGCCTCTGCTTCCTTCCAGGGACCCTGCCCAGACCCACCCTCTGGGCTGAGCCAGGCTCTGTAATCCCCCAGAGGAGCCCTGTGATCCTCTGGTGTCAGGGATCCCCGGGTGCCCAGCACTTCCGTCTGTTTGGAGAGACAAGCGGATCGAGCCTGGAGGAAACTATGTCCCCGGGTCCCCAAAACAAGGCCATATTCTCCATCTCCGATGTGACAACATTTGAGGCAGGGAGTTACCGCTGTCAGTATGAGAGGGGGGGGCTGAGGTCAGAGCTCAGCGAGCCCATGGTGCTGGTGGTCACAGGTGAGACTCACTCGGGGACCCAGTGCTGCCCAGGGAGGGGGTCTGCGCCTGAGCCCAGAGGGTCTACCTGAGGTGTTGGTTGCAACCCCTGCAACCTCTGTCCCTACCCTCCTAGGATATCACAGAAAACCATCCCTTTCTGCCCTGCCGAGCCCTGTCGTGACCTCAGGGGGAACTGTGACCCTCAGGTGTATGGCCCGTGAGGTATTCAACGCATTCATTCTGATTCAAGAGAGAGAACCCGGGCCCCCACGCACCCTCGAGTCACAGAGGAGCACCAATGGGCAGGTCCAGGCCCTGTTCTCAGTGGGGCCCGTAACCCCCGGCCGCAGCTGGACGTTCAGATGTTATGGCTATTATGCCTACAATCCTCAGGAGTGGTCTGAGCCCAGTGACCCCCTGCAGCTCCAAGTTTCAGGTGAGGATCCCGCTCCCCACCCCTCAGAGCTCAGCCAAGTAACCCACAAGAGCATTGGGGGGTGAGGAGCGGACAGGAGGAGGGCTCAGCCTCGGGTCCGTCTCCTAGGCTCCTCTTACCCCTCCCTTCCAGGTCTGGGCTGCTGCAGGTCAGGAGGGTAGCAGGAATTGGGTGTTCAGGCAGATCTAGGGGAGCTGTTGGCCTTGGAGACTCAGGCTCAGCCCAGCCCCTCACTCTCCCTTCTCATTGCAGGAACTTCTGGGGTCACCAGATCCCCACCCAGGTTCACTGTGGGTGAGTGGCCGTGTCTGCCAGAGGCAGGGCACCCAACCTGCTCTCAGAGTCCCTCTGGTTGTTGTGGACTGTTCCCATCTTGAGGATCTTCTTATCCCTGGGAGAGACAAGTGGCGGGGGGTGGGGGCGGGGGACCCTAAGCAGGGTCTGAGACTGGTGGTCATGGCCAAGGAGACTTGGAAACCCACCTGGATCAGGAGCTTAGGTGGGAGGGTGAGGACGCATCTCTGGGCCCTAGGCTGGGTCTGAGACTAGTGGTCATGGCCAAGGAGACTTGGAAACCCACCTGGATCAGGAGTTTAGTTGGGAGGGTAAGGACACATCCTGGCCCCCACTTCTCTGTGCTAACCCGAGGGCCCCCCTGACCCTCTCAACGTGCCCATGGAGCAGGTGGGTTGGAGCGATGCTGGTTTCCCAGAGGTGCTGCCCCTTGGACACTCGACTTGGACTTGACTCCCCTTACACCTTTAGTTTCTCTCTGTGCTCAGCCCTTCTCTCTGGGCTGAGCGCAGACACTGCCCTGAGGTTCCCTGCCTGTGCCTCATCCATCCCAGCTCCATTCATCCAGAAAAGCAAGCCCTCCCCCACACTCACAGGTGGTCCCTGAGGATGGAGATCCAGAGTAGTTGGAGTCAGGTTTCATTTCTCTCTGACCCCAATGCCTGAGCCTTCAGCTCCTGAACCTTGACACTGGTCTGGGTGGGGAGACTGTGTGACTACCCTACCTGAGTTCTTGGAGATACATCCACAGAGACCCCAATTTAGTCTGAACTCAATCTACCTGGGAAGCTAGAGGACCCCAGTGGGGCCGCAGAGCTAGTTAGTGATGGGAAGTGCAGAGTGGCAGGGACCCAGTGTCCAGGGCTCAGGCTAGCATGACCAGCTCCTCATCACATCCTTATTTCATGATTCTGGTGGCAGCCCCCACCACAGGCCCATCACAGACCAGCACAGACTCCAGCACGGGTGAGTAGGGGGCTCAGGACGGGCTGGTACAGATGGTCCCATCCTGTTAGGGGAGGTGGCCGGGGACAACAGGGGGGGGAGGTTCGTCAGCTCTGACCTCTACTGCCTCTGTCATCTATTCCCGGCTTCACGTCCCCAGAACTACATGGTAGAGAATCTCATGAGGGTGGGGGTGGCTGATTAGACCATTCAAATCTGATACCACAAATTTTAACCACATTTGTTCTAAGTTCTTGATTAATGCCTCTGAAATTCTGATGGCTAATGCATTGGCTATGTATGATGCTTGGGTCAGATGGTCATTTTGACAATGTTAATTCTCCCTACCACATGTGAAATCTTCTATTTCCTTGTGTCTTCTTCTATTTCTTTAATTAGTGAGCTACAGTTTTTTTATGTTTTATTCTTTCTCACCAGGTATCTCACCATGTATTGTTGATGCCCATCTGGATACTATATTGTATTGTTGGTTTACATCTGGACACTAACTGAAAGGGGTTGTCTTTTTATTTCTCTTCTGTTTCATTGCTTAGATATAAAATAAGACAGATATTGTGTATTAACTTCGAAGCCTGCTACTTTACTGTATTGTTTATTATTTCTAGGAGGATTTTTGTGGAAATTTTAGAGTCTTCTCTGTGTCCTATCAAAATAGATTTTAACTCTGGCACCAAGCAAGAGTACTGAGGTAGGGCATTTGCCTTTCATGGGACCAACTCAAATTTGATTCCCAGCATCCCATTTGGTCTCCCAGCCTGCCAGGAGTGACCCCTGAGCACAGAGCCAGGAGTAAACCCTGAGCACCACCAAGTGTGGCCAAAAAACAAACAAACAAACAAAATAGAGTTTAACTTCTTTTCTCATTTGAGTACCTTTAATTTACTTTTCTGCTTCTGGATGTTTTGAATGGAGAAGGATGGACATTGTCTTCTAAGGCACAAAACAAAGGATTCATTTTTTTCCCAAATAATCTACAATGGTGTCCAGTGTTCCTCCATCGAATGAGAAATGGAGACAGAAAGTGAGAGAGAGAAAGAGAAAAGTTAGCTGAAGAAGAAGGGCTTGTCTCTTTCCCATCTCAAATGCAACAAGTATGAGCACCAGCTACTCGTTCCCTGCACTCCTGCGTTCCACAGGCATAACTGAGCGCCCGGTGGGGAGGACACTGAACCCCTGGGATTCTCTGGGTCTTCATGTCGGTGTCCTCAGCCTCCTCCTCCTCAGGAGCAGCTGGAATGTGCTCTCTGTGTGACCCTCCCCGACACGGGACTGCTGCTCCACAAGCAGACCCACAGACAGTGGACTGGGAGATGCAGGCACAGCTCTCTGGTCCCACTGAGATGACAGCTGGCCTGGGCCATGTGCCTGCCCTTGCAAACACACTTACCTCTCTGAGGAACTGATACAGGAGGGAATAAAAGAGAGCTGAGCGACACGCAGGCTGGGAGGGAGTGAAAAAGGCAGTTCCCTGCTTGCCTGAGCGCTCGGACTCAGGATCTCCTGACCCCAATCTCCACAAACGGACTTCCAGTCTCCCGCATTAAAGAACATGTGTCAATGTCACATGTCCCAGAGGGCACCAACAGGCCACAAGTGCCATGACCACACATCCATCCGTTGTGTACTGGGAATAAGTCGAGGGTTAAACTCAGCTAACACATGAGCCTGGGGGACGCTGGTTAGGCCAGAGGGATGTTCCCCCAGAGAGAAGGGGCCATTCAGGGGCAGCCATGGGGGAAAGAGCGACCCTGATTCATTCACTCCTGAAGCTCCTCACACTTCTCTCCTTCTCAGGAACAGCTCCCACTACAAGACCAGCCCAGAACAAGACGAAATCCAAGCTCGGTGAGTCGGGAAGGGTCTCGGTTTGGGGACTGGCCAAGAGGTCACATTCTGCCAAGGGTTGGAGGTGGCCTTGGGAGCCATCAAGATCCAGGGGGTGCTGTGAACAGTGACCTCTGTGACCTGTTGATGTACCACTTCCAGCCCAAACCTCCCTGCCCCGGGACCACACAGTGGAGAATCTCCTGAGGTTGGGCGCTGCGGGCTTCATCCTGCTGGTCCTCGGAATTCTGCTTCTGGAGGCTCAGCACAGTCTGAGGAGACCTGAGGCCGCCAGCCACTGACCAGAGGGTCCATATGCCCTAGGTGGAGGGACCCAGACTCTGGCTTGGACCCAGCAGGTGCAGTGGGAGGGCATCTGTGCCCCTGGAGGTGGAGGGCTCAGAGCCTGTGGAAACGCCCCCTTCCCTCTTGCTGGATATCTCGCTGCTTCCTGCTTTTCCCAGGTTCTAAGCCAACATCTTCTCCTGTGGCCAGCTTGGGTCCACACCCTGTGCTCGATAGCACCCCATGCCTCCAGGCAGAGCCTTTTTGCTCATTTTTGCTGTGATGCTTCAGGAAGCCACCCCCATCCCAGCTTCCCCTTGCAACTGCTAATGATGAGTTTACAGAGTAATTAAATCACCTTGGGGCTGGAGCAATAGCACAGTGGGTAGGGCGTTTGCCTTGCACGTGGCCAACCCGGGTTCAATTCCCAGCATCCCATATGGTCCCCTGAGTACCTCCAGAGGTAATTCCTGAGCGCAGAGCCAGGAGTAACCCCTGTGCATTGCCGGGTGTGACCCAAAAAGAAAAAAAAGAAATTAAACCACCGAAAGTTAGGTATATGGGAGCCACGCCTACAAACTACCTCTGACTCAGCCATACAAGCTCACTTATTGGCCTTATTTCAGAGACCCATAAATAAACCTGAAAAGAGATCAAAAGCTGCAATTAATCTCAGACCCGTGCATGGCTAAGAGACTGGAGTAAATCAGAGAGGGGCAGGTTGCCCTGGTGCCCACCCAATGAGAGCCCCTGGCAGCTGCTTGCTTCCACAAACCAAAGTTGCCACCATAGCCCTGGCCTGACTCCACCGTCTCAGGACGGACCTCACCAAGATATAATCTGCTGAAAATTTGGGTATGCGGATTTTGTAACTGAAATCTCTAGACTTTCTTGGAGTTGGGATGGACTACCCCGCCCACCTCCCTGTACTTCTGGAAGCCTTGGCAGTCATATCCACACCCAAAGTGGCCACGCAATTGAAATGCTACTCCAGCCTTACCGCCCTGATAAAAATGTTGAATGCCCTGAACAAACACAATGACCTCTTAGCCTGTATTGCAAATCACAATGCACAAGAGGAAAAGGAGAGAGAGCAAGAAGGAAAGCACCTTCCATGGAGGGAGGCTGGGGGCTTGGGTGTGGGAGGTTGGGGGATGGACGAAGGGAAACGGGACATTGGTGATGGGAAATATACACTGGTGGAAGGATAGGTGCTGGATCATTGTATGACTGAAACCAAATTATTAATAGCTTTGTAATGGTCTATCTCATGGATAATTCAATTTAAAAAAATTTTAAATAAAAATAAGTAATGTGGAGTTCATGCCCAATTCAATCAGCTTAATTAATGGCTGAATAAATAGCAGTACTCCTACATTTCAAAAAAAAGAAATGGGACTGGAAAGAGAGCACAGCGAGTAGGGCGTTTGCCTTGCACTCGGCCGACCCGGGTTCGATTCCCAGCATCCCATATGGTCCCCTGAGCACCGCTAGGAGTAACTCCTGAGTGCAGAGCCAGGAGTAACCCCTGTGCATCGCTGGGTGTGACCCAAGAAGAAAAAATAACAAAAAAATAACAAAAATATAACAAATAAAAGTGAACACAAGTGTCCAGCTGAGTGACTGATATTTTAAATGATTCCTGAACAGCTCCTCTGCACTCCAGACAGACCTGGTTTCCACCTGCACCTGGATATTTCCCCAAGCCCCGCCAGGAAAAAGCCCTGAGCACAACCAGATGTATGGCAAAAACCCAACCCCAACCATGGAACCCGGAATAGTGTCACACCTAAACCCTCATCCTCTGGTGTGGCCACCCCACCGCCCACTACAGGGCCAGGGACAGGGCGAGAGGCCAGCGCAGATCTGGGACTGGCACCCGGCAGGGCTGGGACTCACTGTGGCCTGAGGGTCCCCAGCAGCCATCCCTGGACAATCTCCAGGAAGCACCACAAAACCCCAGGACACCGAAGCCACCATGCCAGCACCCCCCCGCCCAACACACACACCCGCCCCAGTTCTCTGGACGCCAGGCCCAGCACCACCATTTGTGCAAATAAGGACGATGTGAACCTTCCTTCTCAGCTCCTCTGCAGAAGACTCTGTACTTGGCCATGTGTGAAGCCCAACATCTCCTTGTGTGTACACACCTGAGTCAGTACCCACATCTCAAAGTCCATCAGTCCTTAGCACAAGGGGGTGGAGGCCATTATTATCTCTGAGCTGCAGCAAAGACAGCCAGCCAGACAGGAAGGGACCTCCAATCAGGGCACCAGGACTCACCAGAGCGCTCCCTCTCTACCCCCCCACCTCTCTCTTCCTCCTTCCATCCCTCCCTCTCTCTCTTCCTCTCTCGCCTTCCTCTCCCTCTCCAACTCTTCTCTCCCTCTTTCTTCTCCAATCCCCTACCCCCCTCTCTCTACTTCCCATCTCTGGAACAATGGGAGCTCTGATCAGGGCTGTTCTAACCTGGAATAGTGAGTCTTTCTGCTTTGAAGTAGAAGAGTGTCACCATCCACACTGGTCTTAAGACATGGGAGGACTTGGTGACCATCCAGACCTGGAAGGGACGTCCTGCTTCTATAGATCCCGCACTCAGGCCTGGGCACATGAGCAGGAGTCGTGGTCTGGCCCCAGAGGCAGACTCCCCCTGCTCGGCCTGCCCCAGGGCAGGAGCAAACTCCCACGGCCCCACCCCTTCCAGCTGAGCTGCCCACAGTCCGACCCAGCACACACCTCATGGGCCAGGACTCTCACAGTCATGTCCAGTCTGGCCATTCTCACAGCTCATTGTCACCCTCCTCATGATCCAGCTGTCACCCCCACCCAGGTTCCTGGTTCCTGCCTGAGCAGGTCCACTCTCCTCTGTGATCAGGAACAAGTCACACTGGTGACTGTTCCCCTGCCTGGCCCTGATGCCAAGTAGGGACCCAGGGGCAGGAGCCGGGGATCCTGCGTCACTCCTGACCCTCTGCCTGCACTGTCCTGCCAGAAGCTTCTGCTTCCACACCAGGTCTCAGAGGGGGCCCCAGATGGTCCTGCTGGGGGGCTCAGGGCTCTCTGCAGCTGCTCCTGCCCAGACGCCCACTGTCCCAAACCAGTGGGTGGGTCCCTCTCCTGCCAGGTGCCCACAGAGCCCCTGTGTCTCAGGGCGGGGCTGGAAGCTGACTGTGGAGTTCTCCTCAAGGGGTCCTGAACACACAGAGTGTCAGGATGAAAGAGCAGAGGATCCAAGGAGTTGGATATTAACCCTAAGGATTTTAGGCTCATCAGTAAATTGCCTCTCTTACTCCCCCCAGAGAAGCTTACGGTGCTCTTGCGAGCACCCCTAGTGCCCAGAGTTTATCTTTAACTCTTCCTTTGTGTTAGTTACTGAATTCCCCTAGTCAGGTTTGGTTACTTATAAGTTGAACCTTCTGGTGACTCTGGATTTTGTATTTGTAGTGAATTACTTGCTTTCCTGATTCCCCTATAACCCTTCCATATTTTACCATAGAAAAATGTTCTTTGCTTAAACACAGAAAGACTGTTAATGCTATGCTCCTAATACTTGGGAGTTAATTGACTCTGAAATATATCTACTCCTGGGCATCCATCATAATTATTTGACTCAGGCTTCAGTTGTTGTAGTTCCTAACACCCTAAAAGGGAGGTCCCGCCGTGGGACTGGGATGGGCCTGGGGCCAACAGCAAAGCTACCCAGGCAACAAAATAGGACAATCTAGAGAGCATAAAAGTGCAGTCTTGATGCAAGTTGTTATGATTTAAGAGACAGGACCCCCATGGAGAAGGAAATGCTGAACTAGCCTGAGGACTAAGATCTGAGAGTTACGATAAAAACCTTGATTGCCCTCAGAACCCAGAGAACTAAGCTTTGGAATGTTATGTATCTTACTGTGTTCATCCAAATAGCTGCAAGGATTTGTAAGAAGTAAACTTCATTGTTTAATAAGTACTAGTAGCAAGGGAAAGAGAAAAGCAATATGCTTGTTGCTCCTGGGCTAATCTCTCCATATAGCTCCTGGAAAACAGAGTGTCTCGACTTAATCCCCCAAGAGAATTTCCTCCACTAAAACACTTTACCTCTGTAAATGATCACCACACCTACATGCAGTTCCATACTTCGAACCCCCTCAGGTGTCCTATAAGTATGCTAGCAGCTCTGTGTGAAACGGGCCATTCTGACTGTGGGAAGCTGGCCCTTTAACTGACCAAGGCCTAAGTGCCTGTATGGTCATCCTGACCTACGACCCCACGGCAGGCACAGCCTGTGCTATGTATGGTCATCTTGACCTACGTGACCCCGCAACAGGCAAAACCAGTGCTATGTATGGTTATCTTGATGTATGGTTATCCTGAGAGAACATCTGTCATGGCTGTCAGTAATAACAAGAAGTAACTATCTCGTGTCTGGTATGTGATGCATGTAAATTTTATAAATCATATGGACATGGCTCTTTGTGTATCTACCTCATGTCTGGTAAATCATATGGACATGGCCCTTTGTGTAATCACCTCGTGTCTGGTACCAGATACACATAAACCTTGTAATGCATGATAGGTGAAAACAAACCTTCCTAACCATATATGGGCACGACCTTTTGTGTAGCTGCCTCACTAATGGATATATACCCTGATTGCCCCCAATAAAGTCCTGTCCCTTTTTCTCTCTGTTTCTGAGCTGCATTCTGTCTCTTGTGTCTCGTGTTCATTCGGTCGGTCCTTCCCAGCATCTACGGATCCTAGGGCCACCTCCGCAGGCCGGAGAGTGGTCTGGCGGGGCCCCCCCGCAACTGGCGCCCAACGTGGGGCTCGAACCCACGACCCTGAGATTAAGAGTCTCATGCTCTAAAAAAAAAAAAAAAAAAAAAAAACTTGGGAGTGCCTGAATGATTTCTATCTTTTCTATCTGACCCTCAGCCCAGGAGAGCTTCCCGGAGCCTTGTGGATTGTAGGGCATTTTTGAATCAGATGTAGAGGATGCTGTGAAAGATTCAGAGGCCTTCTTATGAGAGAA